AAATTGCAAGGCCACACCCCCGGGACTAGGGGTAGGGCGCGGTCAATGCCTCGTGATTGCGCCCGGGACGGGCCTGGGCAGTGCACTTATCATTGACAGCCCCCCCGCTCGGTCCTATCAGGTCCTCCCGCTGGAGTTTGGCTGCACTCGCGTCCCCGCTTTCGCAATGCAAGCGAAAGTGGAGGGTTTGCCATCGTTGAAGGGCCTTGCTGGCTTTCTTCACCAGACTGTGAGAGAACTGAAGGTAGAGGATCTGGTTTGCGAACCCTCACTGGTTTATCATTATCTCTGCGAGCGGGGCAGAATTGCCCCTCATACCGGAGAGAGCCACAATGAGGACACAATTCCGCACCTAGATCCCGCAGTTACCCCAGAGTCCATCGCCAATTTGGCGAGGATGGGCGATCTGGCAGCCCGCCGTGCGCTGCATGCTGTCTACACCTATTTATTTCAATCCTGCAGCGATACAATCATGCTCTTTTTGCCCTTGAATTGTGTTATTATTGGAGACAATATTGTCAAGAACAAGTTTTTATTTGAGGACGACGAATACGTAAAGACCCTTCACGACACATTACATGAACACCCGATGAGCAAACTTGGGTTTATGAACCGAACCTCCTTTTTTAGACAAGCAAAGGATATTAATCTTAATTTGCTTGGGTGTCTAAGCTTTAGCGTTCAACTTGTGAACTCGTTAAAATAAAAATAAATAATTATGAAGAGTTTGATTATCTAATAAAAACTAACTATTGACTGCATGCATTTTTGCAGTCTTGCTAACATCATTTGCGATCTTTAATTTGGATGCAAAAGGTAAATTCCTTTTTTTTTTACCTGAAGCTTATTAACTGCACACTGTCGCAAAAGGGATCAAAAAGTAAATTTGAGGGAATCTAACGTGAACATTTTTCAGGTGCAAATATATACAGACGTATATTATATTTTATTTGTATGCGTAGATCTTGGTTTCTAACTTTTCTTTCCTCATAACTGGAATTTTGTGCTTTTTAAATATTTAATTATGAATATATAAACTGTGAGAGTCCAGGGTTATGATTTGATATCTGTACGTAAGGGGTGTTTATCACTGTTTTGAGACTTCCATTAAGCCTGGTTGATACAGCTCCCGCATTTAAATCCTTAGTAGAATATACCATTCCCATCTTTAAAAAAAATAGAAGATATGTATATAAAGTATTCATAGCGTGGATGGGTGTAATATAATTCATAACAATTTATCAAGAAGATAAACCTAGTACTCAGAAATAATGAGTAGCTCCAGTTTTTTTGTCACCTGTAGATAAAAATTGTAGACACCTGTTTTATTTATTGAGGAAACGAGTATTATATCGTTTAACTATTTTTATCTATAAGGCACCCTTTGCGTAGTGTGTGCTTCGCAATGGAAGACAGACTAATCTCGCACATAATAATGCGATTTCCTGATAACGCAAAATAAACGCATTTTTGTTTTTAAGATGACTTGTGCCATTAGTTTACATGATTTATGATGTATGTGACTCAGCATTCCTTTTATTTTTTATCAAAAAAAGAATGGAACCGAAAAGGTACTAGTTTAGATGATCTTTATGTGAGTTAATGCAAAAGAATGATGTAGAGGAGACGGATGTCAAACGTGTAGAGTGGGTTCACCTCCAACAGGAGCTCGCGGCTCGTGTTCACGTACCAAGGACTGAGGTATATTGCCCATTACCAACAGCTTCTCCCGCTGTGTGGTGTAAATCTCTTAGTGATCTTTGGAAACCGCGAGAGGATGGAGAGTTTGATCTCGCTTTTGTTCATCGACACTTTTTACTTCCAAAAGAACTTCTCCATAGTGAATCAAAATTATCACAGAATCCACCCAAATTGGATAAGTTGTCTACTACGGAGTACTATCATTTCGCATATGAGATTCTTTCACGTCAGATCGTGTGGGATATAAATCGTCAAGATAAATGGGAAGAAGAGGCGATATTATCTGAAGGTCAAACCTCTTTCAGACAATTTCCATCATCCCATCTTTCCCCTCTTAAGATTGTGGGCGGGGTTGATATTTCCACAATTGCGGGGACGCCCTATGGCGTGGCTTGCCTTACCATTCACGCCTTCCCATCACTCGATCTTTTAGGTAAGTTTTTGCACCACTGCGAACTCAAGGAGCCCTACATTTCGTGCTTTTTGGCCTTTCGAGAGGTGCAGCCGATAATCGAACTGTTCGATCGCGTGCGAGGCGCTCTGGAGGAGAAGGGCTGGATGCCGCAGCTTTTGCTGGTGGATGGTTGTGGTGTGAATCACCCGCGGCGTTGTGGTTTGGCTTCCCACCTGGGCGTTTTGCTGAACCTTCCTACGATTGGCTGCAGTAAAAACATGCTCTCCGTCGGCGGTCTTTCTCGTGAAGATGTGGAAAGCTACTTCCGCACCGTAGCGGGTGAATCACCTAGCGGGAATGCGCAAAGTGAGGGGGATGGCGGGGCGAAGAGGAGGACGCACTCTGCTTCTTTTTCTTCTTCTCTGGTCGCTCGAATGCTGCCCCCACTGCACCCTATTCTTGTCAAGAGCTCTTTATTCCCTTCTTTTTCTTCTTCTGTTTCCTCCGATGACGTGGCGCTTGTTGGTTACGCGGTGCAAACGAGTAAAAGCTCAAAGCGTTGTATTTTTGTTTCCCCTGGCAATGAAGTCGGCTACGCTACGTCGGTTGGGTTAGTGCTGAGGATGTGTAGGCATCGCGTCCCGGAGCCGATCCGTACGGCGGATTTATTATCCAGAGACTACATTCGCAGTATGAATCTGGCGGAAGAATTGAAGAAGGGAGGGATAGAAAGCGCTCAGAATTTCTTAAACGTTGATTGAATACCCGCGGCAACACCGGTACAGGTTTTAACAAGTAATTATGCACACCCAAAAGCGTAATTCATGGTATATATTTTCCATTTTCATAATATTCATAGATTTGAACTGATTTTCATTTTCAATAGATTGGTCATGATCTTTTATTTTTTCAGACTTCCCCCTCTCCCCCCAAAAAATTTTTCCTTTTTTTTTCGCATCTTCATATGCTTAATTTCATTAATCCATGTTGTACCCCATAGATGATCTTATTGGGCTTTATCGTTGTGGTGTTATGGGCCCTGTGGGGTCTGCACCGCCTGCTCGTCTATCGTGCGCATCGCTTTACGGGAAAGACTGTTCTCATCACAGGGGCCTGCTCGGAGTTGGGGGCCTGTCTTTGCCATCGCCTGTACGCGCAAGGGGTGAACCTCATCGCGTGGGATTCGAACCTCCCCGATCTCGAGCGTCTTGAAAAGGCGCTGCGGAGCTCCCGCGGGTCCCTTTCGGGCGCGGAGGGTGATGGCTCCCTCAACCCTCCCCAATCCCCTCACAGGGAAAGGGAAGGGGGGTCGTTGACGATTGCAATGGTGAGTTTAACCTCCCCCGCCCTCGTCCAGCGCGCGGTGGAGGAGTTCAAAGGGCCCCTCGACGTCGTTTTTCACACGGCGCTGGGGGCTTTCCCGCGGCCGTCCCTTTCCCGCACGCCGGACGCGATCGGCGGACTTCTTCTCGCGAACGCCGCGGCCCCGCTCAGCCTCGCGAAGCTGCTTCGCCGCCGCGAAGGCGGTCATTTTGTGAGTTTCCTTCCTTTTCCAGGGGTGGATGAGGAAAACCCGGAGCTCGCGGCCTCGCACTGGGCCGCTGTGGGGATGCATTATAGTATTCGCGCGTGGTTGAAAAACGAGGAAAAGCCGCCGCACGGGGCTGGGCGGGTCTATACCACCCTCGTTTATCTCCCCGCCTGGAAGGCGGAGGTCGGGCGGGTTTCGAAGAGGCCAGTCGGGCTCTCGGATGTTGAGAGTTCGCGCGTGGCGGAAGGGAATGCACATGAGACCAAAGTGCTCAATGCCGAGGTGGATGCTGCCCTCTACGCTGTTGCTCGACATGAGGAAAGCTACAGCGGACGACAGGGTTGGCTGATGATTCTGCGCGCCATGATGCTAATGACCTTGCCATTCCCATGGCAAACATCGTTAGATAAAATCTGTCGTCAGGTAAAAAGACCCCAAAGGTCAAAGAATGCATAAAAAAGAACATAGTCGTTTATTTATTTATTCAGATAAATTATATTTCGTTTTCTTTTCGGTCCTGTTGATGTTTTGGAGCCGCAAAGAAATCTCATTTATTTGTTTTTTAAGGGAGAATAGATCTCCATTTTAGAACTGTAAATACGTAACTACAGTAAAAAAAAGTCTTTTTTGACAACAAAACCCTAAATAGTTACTGATAACATTTGGGGAAATATACAATGCTGTACATTAATAAATTGTATATTTGTACAATTTAGTGTATAATACTAAAAAAACTCTTTTTTAATGTTGAAATTATGCATTGTAAATAAAGAATAAAAATATCCACTATGAGTAGCATTTGTTAAACAAATCATTACTTTCTAAAAGATAGAATTGTTAATAAGAGAAGGTGGAGTAAAATTGGCACATAATAAAAAAGAATAAATAGTATCGAATACACTCTTAAAACAATATGAGATAATATATCTGTCACTATAAGGGCAAGTGGCGAAAGTCTGGAAGATTATATACTTGATGTGCTTAAGAACGCACTAACACCGGGCCAGAGCGGTTAATGATGAGGTTGCTAAGACATTATCGAAATGTAATTGGAAGACGAGTCTGAACAACAGGTGATGCATTATCATACTCACGGCACTGATAAGACCGCAGGCCGGTGTAGGTGTGGAGGAAGGAGCGTGGCAGGCTGCGTGCGGTGTTTTCTGTCCGCTCATCGTGGTTCGACACATGATCCGAGAGATTTGCGTGTGTGTTTCTGATCGAAGCGTGGATATTTTGGCGCTTTTGCGCGCCGGCCCCTGCGGTCCTTCACTCACTCACTCCCCCCCCCCCCCCCCTCCTTTCATGGAAGCGATGATGAGAAGACTTTAGACAAATGTAACTCGGGAAAACTGAGCAACAGTGTTGATGAGCCACCACTAAATGTGAATCGTTAGATAGTACGGCTGACAGTTTCCATGCGGGGTGTGAGGACGGGGGAGGCGGGCTGGATGCACCGGGGGCGCTGTGCAAGGAAGCACTCATTTCAAGCCGTGTCGCGCGAAATCCAAATGCGCGTATGGTCGGGTGACGTGCGAGAATTCAAGCGGTGTGCTGTTGCTGTAACCGTATGTGTGTGGGAATAGGGAGTGTGGGTAAGGCGAATAGGGAGAGGGGTGGGGGTTACTCCCTTTCTCGCTTTCCGCACTGTGGACCGGTCCGATTGGGAGGCTGACGATGACTTTTCGACTCGCATCGCGACACACCGAAGGTGCAGTAGCACTCGATTGAAGGAGAACGCGAAGAGAAAATTGTATATCGAGAAAGAACAGCTGAGGCCTCCGATGTGGATTCGGTAGTGTGAACCAGGCGCTCTGCCTGACACCTCTTCTTTTATTAGGTTTGCGAGTGGCATGTTTGAGAG